TACCGTCGAGTTTGACGGGCACCAATAATATTCCTTATAGCTCTTCATACTGTTTCCAAGTGTGAACTATCACAAAGCTGACCGCAAGCCTGGTCGTATTCGGGGCTTGAAAGAATATGAGTTGCGAATAGGAGTCGCCGCATTTGACATATTGAAGCATCAAATCATTAAAACATTTCATTGCTTATGTTTTCAGCCCCAGCCGTTCACGATCTGTTTTCTTGTTATTCACCCGTTTGAGCCGGGAACGAAACAGCAACCCGCTTAGGTATTGACATACGGAAATTCAACTGGGGCACAGCCAAGCAGCCAAGGGATCCAACTAAAGCGTAACAGGACGTCTCTCTCTTTTACCGACCAACGACCCTTTACCCCTGTCTACATACCCTGTTACATCCATTACATCCATTACATCCAATCCTACCCTCGACTACCCTCGACTAAAACAGAGTTGCATGATAATTCGAGGTACATATTGACAGGCCCCCTCCACTATACCTCCATCGCGTCAGTTCTTATATCCATAGCCAATCTCCCTAACGGAAACAGAGGTGGCCTGCCACACCGCCCCCACAGTTTCTTTCGTGGCTATCCGCGCTTTCGCAGAGCCTCTCACGATACTCGAAATATTCGAATCAAGAACGACTCGGGAGCTTGAAACCCGAGTCGAGCTGTTCGATTTATCGGTACGTGGGAATAGGCTGGCGCATCTCTCGCGTTAGACGTATACAACAACAACAATGTATTCGTCAATGCCCTCTAACTCATACGGCAAGGAGCAACGACCGAGAGCTACGGCTGGTGCCCGTTCTCGTACACCCGAGACTGGCCACTCTTCAACATCTCTCGCTCCTAACATGCCACTTAACCAACGCTCCCGCAGCATTGGCGATCTTCTCGAGCCGGCGACGGACGGACCACCCTCCCCTGAGCGCATCCGAGTGTTCAGCAATCACATCAAGCGCAACTCGAGCGCTGACAAGCACCGAAGTGAACTAACGATGTCGTCGGGGTCGTCCTCGCGTCTTTCAGCAGCGTCGGATAGGCAATCGTGGAATCAGAGCCGGGAGAGTCTTGGTTTGTCGAGGAATCCGTCTCAACGATCCTCGTCTACAGGCACACCATCGCATGAACGACCTGATAGCTTACAATTCTTTGGAAAGGGGATTTTCCGCAAAGGTAAACTTCGTAGAGGAAGCGGTGACCAAGGTAGCTCCAACAGTTCGTTGGATGCAGTCGAGGCATCAAATGAGTCCAAGGAACAGCACTTCATCCAGTCCGTGTTCGCGCGACGGAGGGCACTTAGAGGAGAATCCAGCGTGCCGACCCAGAAGAAGCTACAGATCTCGGGACCTTATAACTTCCAACACCTCACACATACTCACAAGGATAGCGTCCCTGATCTGGACCAATCGAATCGCCTGGAGCTCGTACCGGAATTCTCAGCTATGCAAGGACGACGACACACCGAGGCGTTTCTGGAGGGCATCCGAAGCGGGGACTCGCGATTCCCAAGCTATTCCTCCGAGACCTTCTATCATCAAGAAGATCCATCAGTAGGGTTGAATGCCGACGGAGCACGCTTACGGGCATCACAACCGCCTCCGCTACCGCCGATACGATTAGCGAAGCGTTCTCAGTCGCAGGATAAGATCCGTGTTCCACCGCCTCGCCCACCTAGGTCTCCAATAGGAGAGAATAGTATGGTGCCTCTAAGACAACCAGCACAACCACCACAACAGGTACATCCCCCTCCAAGGACATCTAGTCGAACCTCGGCAAGACACGATAGGTTTGGTTCATTGTCTGGGTCTATGGACCACTCTGGAGCAAGCATCAGCTTCCGAAACCCGCAACCGTTTGCTCCTAGCTCGCCATCAAGGGCGCAAACTCCGCATGTGCCACTCGTCTCACCTGTACTAGAGTCAGAATATGAAGAACCTTCGCCCATGTCCAAGGCGCCTCATGCTGTCACCACGTCAGATGACGTCGCGTGGCCCTTGAGCAATAGTATAGGTTCCCTACCCGATGTCCCAGAGGAAGAAGAACATTATGCATCATCTCGACCATCCCGATCCCGGAGGAGCGTTTCGAGCAGCCACTCTTCTCTCAGGGGTAGTATATCGGTCCCCCTACTTCGTCAGTTCTCCATGAAGCGAACAACTAGCAATGCCTCAGATACCTTGGGCAAATTTGATTTTGGCTCACAGCACACAACACTCGTGAACGCTCGTGAACAGTCAATTGCCGGTCTAGGTGGCGATAGCTGGGAAGATGATATCGATTATTGTTACGAGCATGAAGCTGAGGCAAACTGCGACTATGCCTGGGAACGACCGTCATGTGATATAGTATTTCCACAAGAAGTGCGAGGTCGATCATTGGGAGGCCAGTCCGAAACTGTTATTACTTTCAATCGTCTTTCAGATGGGTTCCTATCTCCTGGAGATGTCCCCATCTTGAGCCCAGCCAGTCAAGTATCCAGCTCGACAGCTCAAGAAGCCTTAACACCGAATCTATCCCTTCCAGTAACTTCCAACTTCTCGCTCCCGCAGCGGAAGGGTTCAGCACAACTCCTTCGTGATAGCTTGCGTGCTCAATCCCCCGAGCGTAACTTCAAGGAGGCTCAGGCTTTTGGCCTGTCTCCTTCGCTTCTTATCCCAGATGACTACCACCAGCAGATGCTTCGATACGAGAGGGGAGAATTGGACGACGACAGCGATGACGATGAACTAGTTATTCAAGGAAATACCCTTGACGAGCCTATTATCAAATTCGGCAAGAACCTAAAGCCGTCGAACGCTCGTTCAAGCGCTTCGACCACCGACTCCAGGCTTTCGGAACATTCCATGACTTCCAGCCGCCACAAGTCGACGGCATCAACCTCCACGGGCTTTACTCGATGGACCGGTAGCAGCATGTCCAGCTGGCAAGGGCGCGACTCGACGCAGCATATCATATCAAAGCCCGCCAGCGACACCGGACCCGTCGTCATTGTCTCGCCTACACAGGCGACGATGCCAATGACACCCACGTCGGCTCCTAAATTCGACGAGGAAATCTCCCCGAAGCAGGAGCCTACCCGTGAAAAGCACGGAAGAACGCAGTCACACGCCGGCCTGCTCATGAGGACCAACTTCGACGCCCCGCCCACTGCGGAGCCGAAGCCAGCTGCAAAGGAACCTCCCAAGACCCGTAGGCGCGCCAGGACTACGAGCCGGAGCCATGCCGCCCCGCTCGCCCTCTTCCCAACCGTCACTCCTCTTCCCGGCGGCCGTATCTGATGAGGCCACCTGAGCTACCTACCTATTAGTTATATCTGTTTATATATTACTGTACTCAAATTATCCATGCATACCTACATACCTGCTGAGCGCAACACTCTTTACGCCATCTTCTTACTTGTACCCCCCCCCCCCCCCAACACCGTCGGATCATCCATCCGCCTCGGACAAAAGCTTTTCTTTGACTATTGGTTTTCGGATATAGACTACTACTGCTACTACTACCACTACCCTATTACCATCACCACCACCACCACCACCACCATCGCGGCCTTGGAACCAGCCAGGAGTTTTCGGGGGCTGAACGACCCGCGGTTTTCTATGTTATGTTACTGTGGCGGACACGCACGTCCGTCCACTGTTGTGCTTGATATCTTGCTATTGATTGATATATAGACATTTACGGCTTTTGGCTTACGGGGGCGGGCAGGGAGGAGGCATATATCATATCCATGTATACCTTTTCGCGCCTGTCGTTTCCGCGAATACCTTGTTTTTTTTTTGCTTTTGCTTTTCTTATCATCGACACAGCACCACAGCACCACAGCACCACAGCACACGTACGCACACGCACGCACACGCACACACATCCTAGAGCCAGCGATGGGCAACTGAGAAAATCTTTTCCTTTTTACTAACTCCCCTGTATTGTTTGGTCCTTCTCGCTTTTTTCCTGCATAGAGAAAAGTAGGTGAGGGGCGGGACGGGTCAAAAAGTTTCGGTGCGCGGAGTACCAATGTGTTTTTATTTATTTTTTATTTTTTGCTCTCTGCCTTGCGTTGGAGTTAATCTTGTTTCTGCTTTTTGTTTAGTGGTTTGCTTTGCTTTGCTTTGCTTCGACGGTCTCGGGTTATGATGGTTGGAAAGCATATATATATATTACGTATGTGTGTGTTGTATATGCTGTGCCAAGTACGTCCTTCGTTATAGAGGACACGGCCGGCATACCATGCATACATACAGTCGAAGTGTTTGTCTGTATCTATTCATAGCGGACCGAATCCGCTTTTCGTCGCTTGTGACGAGTATTTAGAATGATAGGGGTGCGAGAGGCTATGTGCATTATTGCCTTCATTAGCTAGAAGGGCCTCAGGGGTTGGGAAGTTGAAGAGTTGGTATGAAACTAGGAGATAGCATGCTTCGTCTGACCATCTCAGATCAAGATCTAAAAATCTAAAGCTATATTTCCTGATATGATATATTTTATATGCTCAGTGTCTTCTCGTGATATGTTCTTTTCCGTCCTTAGATCTTGGACGGTAGCGAAGGTGAAGAGACTAACCTACGATATATCGAAACTATGTTGAATATCAATGATACTTCGTTAAGCGTTAAGGTCACTTAGACAATAATTCCCGTCTCGAATATTAACCCGCCTCCCCCTTATGGAGCAAAGTCCAATTAAGCCGACAAGGGTATCTCAGTAGATAGTATCAGTTATATCCAAGCTTTCATGCCTTCGTATCTTCACATAGTAATAAATGCTAACATAATAAACGCGTGTAATTTAAATTGCAGCATGCATTTATGTAATCTCCCGTACATACACGGTGTTAAATATCCATCATCAATATACCCCCATGCTAAGCGAACAAACGCCACCACGGATATCACGCAACTATGTAATCTGTAATCTGTAATCTCAATATCTGCCGGTCATCTATACCGGAATTTCAATGCCAGGAAAAAAGATTCGGCCATGTCGAATTCGAAACAACGTATATGCACCCTAACGCCCTGCAATGCTTATGCCATCTAATAATCCGGATCAGAACAATCATGGGTATAATCTCGGTATACCTATAGTATCGTAGCTAGCGTGGCCACCCCGAAGGACAGGAATAGGATCGCCACTGAAACGGAAGCACTCGTCATTGCAGCGCCACCCCTACTATCGCCCAAGCCGATGCCTCCGTTACCACTGCCTCGTACGACACCCTCTGTCGCTTGAACAGCGTTGGCAACTGCCGTGGCATCAGGAATGCCGGTGCCGCTAGTGATTTGTTGGACATTTGACTCGGTTGTGTTGAAGTTGGTCTGTGCGATCGAGATCTCATTATTGTCGAGATCGTAAACGACATAAGCTGATCGGAGGAAGGTGTCGCCCAAAACGTTGGTTCCCGAACCGGCTGGGGCAATGCCAAACAGGCATGCCTCCACGCCGTTGGAGAATGTAGGGCGTTGTCCCGTTGTCGTCACCAGATCCAGCACCAGTTCGTTCATTTCTACCGAAATCTTCGGTCCTGAAAAGACGAAGTCGATCGTGTCCGTTTGGGTCTCTAGGGAGCATGGTACGTACGCCGCGCCTTCGCTCGCGTCGTACTGCGCGTTAACCGCATCGTAGATGGCCCCGACCATGCTATCAGGTAGATAGGTAAGCGAGGAGCCCGAGTCTAGCAAGACAGCAAGGGCCTGGTTATCGGCGATAGTGTTGTTCCCCACTGATAGAGAGGTCAAAGTAATCAAGAACTCGGAGAAAATACCGCCATTGGATTGGATGGGAAGCGTCTGGAGACTTCCTGTGTATTGCGCCGTATCGACTCCTCCAAACAGAATGCTACCTCTATTCGAATCCAAATCGTTCAGCCAAAGACTATAAGCATTTCTTTCGATTTGTCCAGCTGTCACCATCTTCTTCGGAAGATTGTCATACGGATCCATTCCAGCCCGGCCGACTTGCACCTCGTTGACGGGATATCCAATGCCGAGGATACCTTGCTCGGAAGTACTTTGATACCCAATTCCGAACTGGAACTTCTCTAGCGACAAGCCACCGATTTTGATCGTGTCGGTGACATAGTCTCCGCTGGCCCCAGAGCCATCAACGTAAGAAATGTTGAACCAGCTTCCCACATATTCGTAAGTGGAAGAAGAGTTGGCGTTATAGGTTCCCGCGAAAGAGCAAGGGTTCGACCTCTGAGAGCAGAGGGATGAGGAATCAGTATTCACCCAGAGATCACTGCTACCCGTGTCCAGGTGCATACGTATCGACTGCGCCGGCGTTCCTAGGGTGCCATTCACGAAGTATAGTGTCTCCTGTCGATGGCTTAGTAAGAAACACAGACTCGCAAGTCTAAAATTCTCATATCATACCTCATTGTCTAATTCTGCTCTAAAAGTGCCATCTCTCCGCCGTAAACGGTCTCGTCTTACTGGATCTGATATAGTCTTCCGTTCTGTAGCCAAGCTTACAACTTTTGGATGACTGCTACTACTCTGCAAATTACGTGCATTTGTCGGAATAGCCGAGACACTTGCCACAAGGGCAAACACTATTGTCGATTTCATAGTGAAGATTGAAGACGGTTGAGATAATTTTTACCACACCAGTCCGAAGCTTACAATAACAGCACCAGATGCTATAACCTGAACATCGAATGTGACTTCTCTCGGTGGGCGCCTGGATTGTTTAGTTATATGTACAGCCGTCGGAGGCGAAGGAGGCGAGGGATGTATCAAGTACAGTGGAACGGATTCGTAAGTCGTGCGTGGCCAGCCGGGGCTAAAAACAGATCTAAAAGCGTGGGAAAAATGGTATAAAAAACGGGAATAAGAAGTTCAGGATGGCGGGGAAAGATTATTATTATTTGAAAAGAATATGAATAAAAAAACAAATCCAGCAATCCAGTTGCTCGGCGTTGGTGTGAATAGAAAGCCGAAGAGTCGGTTGATCGAATGTGACGAACAGCAAGTTAGAGATAGCTGAGCCACTCCAGCTGAGCCAAGGTACTTGAGGGTCTCAGGATACAGGTCCACGGGTATGCGCACGTATGCTTTGTGATATGGACCGGGATTGTCAAATGGGAGACGATCCTCACTTGGGTACCATAGTAGTCAAGTCACGGCGAAGAGTACATAGAGGAAGAGACGGTAGGTAGTGGGGAGTCCGCACATAGCGTGTACCTAGACTTGGCGCATCTGACGCGCGTCCATGCAAATTCTCGGCTTGTTGCTGACTGCCTCCCCTCAAAGAATCAGGGGCTGTGAATAGTCATTCGTAAGAAATAAAGCTAGGCAGTTTGCCCAGTGGCCTCAGTTTCTTCAGTTTCCTCAGTGAGCTAATTAGCTCTTTGCTGTCGTCGTAAGCAAACCATCTATGTAGCATGATATCCAGCATGATTCTGAAGAGCAAGGCCCTAAAAAAGGATATTAGCATATTAGCATCCTGATACGGTTGGCAGTATCAAATGTTGGACAAGGGTCCATCTTGTCTATCTTGTCCATTTTGTCCATTTCTCGAAGGGGTTTCCAAGCAACACGTCAAACAGCCCTAAGCACGGATCCCGTAGAGCCGACCAATCGTTATTGTTTCACTGAGCTCAAAATAGCTTTCCATGCTAGAATGCCGAACCCTTATTAGCGATACAAAGTAACGGTGTCCGGAAATCTTTCCCTTTTCACCATCGTCCAACAGACTAACATTATCCAACGGTCCTCTTGGCATAAGACGAAATTTAATTAGTCGCAAGGCTGAGGCCAGTGAAGAGCCGCTTGGCGCATACCCAGACGGATATAACGGAGATGTCTTTGTTAACAGTTAGGTTCAAACGAAAAAGAATTACTATGTAATAGTAAATAGCAACATAGCCATTGTAAACGCGCATTGGTTTCTTAGTTTCTTAGCTGAGGCTCTTTGCGAAGGAACACGTAAGAACGCGCAAGCCGGAAGAGTTAGTCATATTACGAAGTAGGAAACCCGTAATCCCCAAGTGACATCTGAGAAAATTGAAATATGGCTTGATAATTGCCGAAGCCATGTCGAACCTTCCCATGAGTCTAATATTCTTAGTCACAATGTCAGTCACTAAGCCTCTTTATAAGTCTATAGTCTATATCTAATACAATGAGGCTTGTGGAGGCTTTTTAGTAACGCCACAAAGGAAGCCCCATGATTAACCTCCGTGCCTATCACAGCTCAGTTTAATAACGAAGCCACTTTATCTACACTGATAGACCTGCGTCGTCACCAGACCATAAGCGAATAGATGATCAATTCAGGACCTGTTCAACGTAGTACACTACAAGACCATATTCGATCATGTTTCCTACAAATGAAGAGGAGGTGTTCCTTAGCTTTTACTATCTTCTACGATAGCTCATCTTGTCTGAAGTGAATCAACTTACATTACCAACAAACTCACTATATTGACGTCGTACATCTGCAGCTGTCAATTTACGTTGATTTCCATGGCCCAGCAGACAATACTATCCGAGATGAATACCGCGTTCGCCAATGCCGTCTATGAGGCTCGCTGGTCCGTCTCTTACACCTTACTAGATCCAACTAGACACATCACACGCTGACTAAATAACCATCATCGTCTATACAGCCCAGTATACGCTGTACGTGCCGAGTCCCTTAGCCCTGTTCTATCAATCCGCTACATCCTCTAACAACACATCTAACCTCGCACGTCCCTAGTCCTTCTTCGGAGCGATGGGTTGCGCAGCCGCCATCATCTTCACAGTCTTGGGCGCATCTTACGGCACCGCCAAGTCAGCCGAGGCAATATTCACGTCGGGCGTAACCCGCCCAGATCGGCTGATGCAGAACACGTACGCCCCCCTACCCCGCCTAGAAAAAATAGATCGTCATAGGCCTTGGGAGCAGAAATGCTGACGTCGAGCCCCTACATGTACGCGCGTAGGTTCTGCGCGATCATGGCTCAGATCCTCTCCATCTACGGCCTGGTAGCCAGCGTTATCATATCGGGCGACTTACATAGTAGTCGAGAAGATGCCCCTGCACCAGGGCTTCCTCCCGCTAGGTGCCGGCATCAGCGTCGGGCTTAGTGGCCTCGCGGCTAGATTCGCTATCGGTATAGTTGGGGATGCGGGAGGTCAGTCGTTAATAAATCTTTTCCCTGTCCCTTTTGTTAAGGGGTTATTACAATTGAAAGCTACGATGGCTAATAAAACACTATCGTGGTGAGAGCTAATAGTCAGCAGCCGCGGCTCTACGTCGGCATGGTTTTGATTATAATATTCGCTGAAGTCCTTGGTCTTTACGGCGTTATCGTTGGAATCCTAATGTTAACCAAGTCGAAGGAGAACATCACCCAGTGTCTGTACTAACTTAGCAAATCTATTTCTCGGCCTATAAATTTTCATAACGTATATGTGAAGAGCGCCGGTCCGTGGCCCGCAGTAATATACTTAGGTTATTGTAATAGTATAGAGTGTTAAGAGGCTACAAATTACTTGCCCAGACCCTTGATTTATCTAACTGGAGTTTAGAGTCCTGGTCTCTCGATCCTTGGTGCTATGGCTGTGAGCATATAGTTTTGGCGTAATAAGTAAATCATATTGAAGACGAAACCTTGAGTCATCTTGTGGACTCCTTACTCTGTTGAAAATTATAATCCGGCTAGGCTTTCGTGATATATCGATTATGTTCGTCTTATTGATTATCCATTCCGAATTAGGCAAACCATCGTAGCATTACAAAACAATGTAATCATCGTCTGGCAAGTTCTGTGCCTTAGCCGTAGGACGCTTTAGCACGCGCCGGTCTTTCCTCTGGACGCTCTACGTCTCATCGATCTTTTCAACCTCGGCCCTCGCTTCCTCCCATGTCTCTTTATTCTTTCTTGCCCATTCGATTTGGCTTTTCGCATAGGCAAGCTTGAATCCATTATCAGTTATCTTGCAATAATAGGTTCGAGAGCAATAGCTAGATAAACTTACCATATAGCGCCTGAGGTCATCTTCTTTCTCACTTTGGAATCTCTTTAGATCTTGCAGGATGCTTGCGCTCGCGTCCCTCACATCTTGCGCCGCCGCTACCTGAGCTTGTTCTAGTTGTTCTATACTCTCGCGCGTCTTTCCTATGGCGTCACGCCGAGTCCTCTCCGGATCTACATCAGCAACACCTTGTATCGCATGACGTATCGGACCAAAGATCTTATTGGTGATAGAGTTGCTACTAGGAACCTTCTTATGGTTCGAAGTAGAGGTTGACCTCTCAGGAACTCCCACTCTCGCCGAAGGGGCTGAAGAAACATCTGCATGGCTTGGAGGGAAGTCTGAATCAATAGATGCTGTGTCCTCCCCACTGCTTTCTTTATAGTGCGGTGTTGAGGTTTCTCTCATACTAACCGACCTTCGAGGTGCGTGGACTTGATGACTTCCCCCTATTTGTTGGCTGCTGCTGAGATATTGATCAATTCGCTTTGCCTCAGCCTCGCTACTTTCTAGCTGCTCTAAGAGAGCCTTTTTCTTGAGCAGTTCGTCGTTGGCCATTTCTTGCTGGACTCTTTTCAGGATCCTGTATCGTAGTACGTTACGAACAACTCCCGCAAATTGGGCACTTTCTCTCATGGGTTCGGCGAAGCTTGCCCCAAGCGAACTTGACAATTCCTCCGTCGCGATGTATGATGAATCTGCAGCTTGACCTACTCTCTCAATAGCCGCAGCTAAGGACGGGGATGGCTCGGAGAGTGCAAAAGCATTATACTTGGCACCTAAATCTGAAAGATCTGTTGCTAGAGAACTTAAGTGGTTAAGTGTACGCCTGTTGACTTTCTCCATCGGTCCCATTAGTGCTTGCTCTAGTTCTTTGATTGATGCTTCGAAGGTGATAAAGTACGGATCTAATTCCTGTTCGTTTAAGCCATGAGCTTCAGGAGGGAATCGGCGGAGTATCTGAGAAGCAACGGTACTAGAACTGTCAAATACCGGACCTGGAGGTGGATTCACGGGCGTCTTTAGCTTGGCTGAGGCAGTCGGCACCGGGAGGTATGAGTGCGCCGGCGTAGGGTTTGCCGTATCGAGTGGTGGTGCTTTCATAATCGACTTCGGAATAGATGAGATAGGATGCGAGTGTAACACCTCATTCTATTATCATGTTAGTCGTAAGAATGCGCCAGGGCAATATAAATGCGCGCATACCCAGCTAACATTTGGGTCGAGGAATCTCCATAAGACCCCGTCGTCTCGAATCTGTTCCATCCGCCGGCAGCGGTTCAAGAAGACAGCTAACATACGCTTTCGCAAGTCGATAATCTGCTGGTCTTGCTTCGCGTTGGTCGGATTTGCAGCGTAATCGGCCATCGTATGCTTCTCAGGAATTGGAGGAATAACAAGGGTAGGATGAAGCCTAGTCAGCGCATCGCGTAATGACGCAAATTCCGAGTATCGACGCCGGACTTCAAGGTCCTAAATCCTATGAGCATGACAAGTTGCTAGTAAGCCGGATAGAGACGTACACCTGTTCTGATCGTGTAAACGATATACTTGCCGCCGCTCTCCATGCTCTTCCCAGCATCCGTGATCAGAATGGGAAGCTCTGGATTTTCGTAGAGAATCTGCTCAATCCGGCTATCATAACCACCTGGTTTCCTTCGCGGCGCCTGGCTATTCTGGGTCCCATATTCATCATCGCTATCGGGGTCAGTAATCTGCTGCTGTCCGTAGGTAGGAGGTGGCGGGATATCTTCGCTGGTAGAAGACGGGGTGCTCGGGCGATGTTGGTCTACATATTCCCAGTCGGGATCAGCCTCGTCAGGAGAGTCATCCAACGCTATGTTTTCCCACATTATTTTTCCTCGATCCAGGTAGGGTTAAAAGAATGTGGGTTTGACTTACAGTCGTGGGAGCCTGGAGAAGTAGGGTGCGCAGAAGAGGATGTGATGGAATCACGACGCTCAAAGCTCACACCGTAAGGGTTATTGTCTTCCTCATCGTTCCACATAGTGATTCACTTTCGTCGGCGGTAACGCACAAGACAAAGCTATATTTCAAAAGTGCTCAATAGTGAGGTTTCTCAGGTAAATTATACGCATATAGTCGCCAAGGCGCTGCGACGTTCGGCGACAAATAACGACGAATGTGGGGGAGGGGGAGAATGGATGAACGAGCGCAAGCTGAGGATACTCTTAACGTCAATTATGAAGAATGGGCCTGTGCCAATATTATCTTGAAGCCTGTGTGTAGTTTCGAAATACTTGAACGGATCAACAACAGAGACAATATGCACTCTGTAGGTTTATCGAATGGAGCTTATGGGGAGGGCTGATATGTAGCTGTGGGATGGTGGAAACCGGAAGCCTTGTGCAATTACTACATAGTATGTACAGTGTACAGTGGAAGTAGGATGTGACTGCTGGGTGAGGTCATGTCTTATGGTACTTGGGCCGTGCTTATCACATATGCTAACCTTTTAGCGTAAATAGTACCTAAGCTAAGAGATCTGCAGGTCCAGATGTAGTTAGCCTCAAGCTTACCTACATACTACAATACGTGCATAAGCCAAGCTCCGACACGAGCCTCCATTGATAATTCATAGGTATGTAGGTACCTATGTAAGGTATAGCCTAAGCGACAACGTTGAAGGGTCGCGGCTATATTTCTATAAAATTGGTGACGGTGTTTTAAATCTAGCATAGGGAACACTCTACTAACGGAGTTAAATACCACCCATCGTTTCATAGATGGAATTTTCCAGCGGAATAGCCAGTTTTCGAAGCTAGGTAGACTTAACTTTATCATTATCTTAATGGACTTCGGGTGATCTCTTAATATATGTACACATATCGATATATACATAGCTACCTAGGTATGTACATAGGTAACTACATAATACAAATATAAATAAATCAAGTAAAAAGCAAGTGGCCTTCTTCACATCCCTAGAGCCTGCTAGAGAAAGCAATGAAAGTCAACGTTTGCATCGCCTGGAGGCAGTGTGATACCAGGGATACAGAGGGAGCGATCATGCGCAAGCACAGAGGATGCGCTCTCTTCGCGCAAAAATAAGAATAACCAAAGATTAAGTCACCGTGTGACTCTTCCAGTGATTAAACTGAAAAGAACAGATACTACGCTTGATCTAAGCCAAAAGGCAAAGAGAGCTGAAGAAGAAAGACATGTAGGGAAAACGTAGAAGGTTTCATCAATATGTAAATAATAATATCTAACGCGGTGGGGCAGGCAGGATTATGTCATCATTATCATAGCAGGTGGCTGCCAGGTACCTAGGTGCATTAGGTACTTCTTACCCCACCAATTTAGCCAATCCCACCTGCAAGATATATTTCCAGTTCTTCTGTCCGCATTCTATTTTTTCTTTTTCTTTTCTTCTTCTTCATACTTACCTTGCTCGGAGAATCTTTGCTCAAGAATGAGGATTCTTAAGGGGAGAAACCTGCATTGCACAACGCGGAGTTGACCCTCTTCTATTATCCCTCGTGGATCGTAGTGAGTGTAATTTTTGCTGTCCTTTTATTTTCATTGTGATCGGTGCCGATGCGCATCGCCATGAAGAGGATAGGCCTCAAGTTTCAGCACAAGAGCGTTGGGAATGTTAAGAGTTCGGCATGAAGATTCGGGATCACATTTACATGGCCGTCAATACCTGCAGATACCAGGTCAGGAATTATATCGATACAACTTGGACTCTCAACTATAGAACTTATGACGCAGTTTCTTACTCGACTCGACGGGTTAATTTACCTACCTACACACTCGGGTTTGGTGCAATAGACACCTAACTCATCTTTAACATTTACTCGGATACCTCGCTGAAATCCATTGGCGCTGTACTTCCAAAAATAAGAAAAGTAAGGGAGGATGCTTATGATATCCGAGAAGCAAAACTTCTGTCTATTGAATATTTCTCTAACATCTTAGCCAACACTCCTGTGTATGGTGGGTATCGTATTGTACGTCCGTTTACCGCAATCCCCTCGGAACCCTTACGACGCCTTTAAGCATCATCGGGACCTGCTAATAAATACTGGCACGCCGATTGTAAAGACCTTCCGTATACCGTCATAACGCCTGGAACCATACGAACCTAATAATATATATGTGAGCTTCTGGTAGCCCAGTGTAATTGCAGCTCCATCCTCCCAGCTGCTGCACGGAACGATAACCCCGTTTGGTATTGCGTTGCCTTTAGCCGCGAGTTGCCTGCCGTAGCATTATGGCTGAGTACCTAAGTCATATTTAGCAAATCGAAATTCATGTCTAGAAAATCCATGTCAACTTACGTGACAATCCCCCCTATCGCAATAAAAACGCCTATGATTGATTTGTCGCCGACAGACCTGCCAGATGTAGCCCAACCTAGCGCCACTATGAGGCACGTTTTCAGATGCCCGACAACAGTACTCGAAACTGGACCTGTTTGTCCGATAATGAAAAATTGTGATAGGTTGATCAAAGCAGCAAATACGCCCGACTGTAATATCAGCACAAACTTCGATATTACATATGTCTCTTTATCTTACCATCAATATCATGATCCACCGAGTCGCCGAGACTTCCGTCCAGGTAGGGAATGTATCCACGAAAGGAATAGCATACAGCAGCAGGAATGCTGAGACGGGCGCCTGGTTGAAGAGTAGTTGCATACTCGACACTTTTAGCTTTCGCTGGTAGCTTTTGATCCATACCGTATATAGCGACGAAGCAAATATACCACTAAAGGCGAACATCACGCCTAGACTTGATGTGCTCTTTACATTGGCGTCATTTGTCGGGAGCGAGTCATAGTAAGAAACCATACCAACACCTAAGCAAGCAGGAATAAGAGCTAGAACGGCATTTCGAGGCAACATGGACCTATATAAAATAAGATCCATAGTCGCAACAGTCGGAGTAAGTAGAATGCGCGCAACTTGATAGAAAGTAACGGAAGAGAAGGCCAACGATAGATTTGGAAGGATAACGTTCAACGACATGGCGACAGAGAGGGGGATAATATCTCGCAGAGCAATACGGCGAGGACTGAAGTACGCGAAACGAGGCCGCGACAATGTGAAGAGAAGCAACCACGTCATAAAGAAGTGAAAAGCAGCAAATGTTAACTGCACAAGCTTCAAAGATGGATCCGAGAAGATGGCCTTGTTTGTGAAAACCTAGCGGATTACAGAAGTTAGTTACACCCGCAAGATAGAAACGAGAGGGAAAGTATACAATGCCTATCGTCGCTAGAGTGTTTACTACTATCCAGAAAACAGCCCAGCCAAAACGACTCTTTGGGGGGCTCCGGGTAGCTTGATAGTCCGTTCCCTTCTCCAGTAGCCCATCGCCTTCTTCGATGTCTTTAGCATTATCTTCGCTTGTAGCAATGCGCTGAGACTTGTAATCATTATGAGTGCCATCGAAACTAGCGAATCCTTCATTATCGTTTGGATTTATCGTGGACGACGAAGCAGCGGACGAGGGCCGTGCAGAGTGACCACTTAAAGATGCCATATCGAGCGGCGCAAGACATGTGACGGGACCTGCCCAAGTTCCCGTCGCCTACAGTTGGTAGATCTAAGCATGTGGAGAGGGTGACGAGTGGGCTCAATGGTAAGGGAAAGGAAGTAAAAGTAAAAGTATCCTTTTGTTCTCGAAACGCAAGATAACCAGTTTTGGTGACGATGGACAGATTCCAGAATGAAGATAGATCCAAGCCGATTGAACGTTGGTGATTTGGTCGCACTGGCTGCTATTTTAGCTGCTATTTAGCCGATCTCCAGGCGGGAACGGAACGTGGAGTCCACTAAGTTTTAGTGTAATGTATGTGACTAGCATGTAAGAAGTACCTACCTCTTAAACAACACATGAAGCTTGTATGATATATACTTACCTACCTAGGTAGGTAGGTACATAACCTTACCTGCCTGCAGGTGGCTTCCCAAGAGGTATGAGATAACCTGTTTAAGTCGCGTGTTACAAGGGGGTGCCGAGCGGCCGACTTACTTGAATTGCAGGATAATGGGATGCAGGATTAGCTCTAAGCTCGTAGCAAAGAACTACATAGGCACAAACTTTCGTTGTATTAACTTACAGTCTTACATGCACTTTCCCATGATTGAAACCAAAAACAGAATGGACTTTCTAACTTCAATGTTGCCATCTCTCAACCAATCCACCAATCATTTTACTGTATATATGCTTTAGGTAGGCAGGTTGATCCTAGGTTGATCCACTTGGATTTTCAGCAACGATGGCAAGCATGATGATATAAGACGGGAAACAGCAAACAGCACCATGCAAGCCACCTGCTTACGGGATAGGCAGATAAGCTTCCTTGAGGTTGGGTATGTCTATCCACGAGATGGTATTGGTTGTTCTATCGAAACCCTAACATGTATATCGTCTATATCATATAAAGAACCCGGCGCTACGGGTTAGGTACTTTGTTGAAGCATCGTAACTTGGGTGTTTGATCTTTCCCCGGAGAATAATGGATGCTTAGGTACCTCTTACCTTTGCCTATAAACAGTGGGTAAGTGCTACACTTCTTGGGCCGAGGATGTCACAATGTGGGCTAAAAAGGATTATGATTGCCATATAATTACCTACATGTAGGTAGATGTAATTAGGAATGGGAGAGTAGGCGAGATACGAATATACGATTTAGTCATGCCAACTCAATTCTCGCCTGGGCATCTTGTAATTAGTAATTATGACACGTAAGCTAACGACTTGGATATTTTAGTATCTTTAGCTATGACTTATATAATTAACAATGTTGATGTTGATATGCTGGTATGTTGTCCATTAGGAGCTTCAATGTTTAATGTTCAACCTTGGAAGTTACCTCTTACATCAATGTAAGAGGTACCTACCTAGGTACTGTACCTAGCATAGGTATGTCGTGGCCCGGCGGGCTGCATGTGGGTCTATGTGCTACAAAGTTGCCAGTGTACCTGCTTAACCTCATGGCCGATCGCTGCCGATCGATGGTCTTGTTAAATTATCTTAAATGTTCAAAGACGCGCGCCGTCATTCGTTTCAACTCGATCGATTCGTTTTCAATACGTAAACCGGTTTATACTGACGAGATTTGTTCATGATACCACTTTCAATTTTTACGAGGTTCGACTATAGACCGGCTATTGCGTCTTTGTGCCGAGTATAATAAGGTATAATAAGGTATAATACTTGTTGCCAGATCTCTTAGTCGGACTGCGCTCCTAGCCAAGTCTTATCAACCTATTGTCTAACGTGTACTTTTACATATTCACGAATGGCCAAATCTAAGACTAATCGTATGGGTATAACCTAGCTGCTTTTTCGTTGGCGCACTTCGTTCCCGGTTCCTTGGATTTAGGTGTCGGACAAGCTAGAGAGACTGTCTTGCGTCGAGTTGCGACTTGAGACTTGCGGCTTGCGACTTACAACCGGGCTGTTCAAAAGATCTGCATCTGGATATCTGTCCACCCCGGAAACCCTCCTGTGCTAGACGAAGAAAAGAACGGACCTTGTTAACCTACACATTTCTCCTAATTGTCCAGATCGTATTACACGTCTGACCTCTTCCTTACTCAAAGGATCCTAAAGGACATTCATACATACACTTTTCGAGCCTCGGACTGATCCACCGGCGAATTTCTGGGTTCTCATTCTGCACGCTATGACCGCGCCACACCTAAACGGCACCAATGGGGTGCAGTGTAAGTGCCTGCCCGCAACGTCACCCGATGCTGACCGAGACGACTTACCACATTGCGTATTTAGCTCCCAATAATAGGACCATGAAGCCTAGGTTCTTCGAGGATTATGGGATTTGGAAGCAGGCTCCTGTATTGACCGGGACCACAAAGTTCGAGGCCTTACCAGATGTCAAGAATATTATGATCACTGGTGGTGCCGGCTTTATGTAAGTTTTCATGAGCCTCCAGGTTCCACATTACAGCTAATAAATGATCGAAGAGCTTGTTGGCTCGTCCGTCATCTCACCTTGACCTACCCCGAAGCCTACAATATTGTCTCCTTTGATAAATTAGATTATTGCTCATCATTGAACAACACCCGTATGCTCAATGATAAGAGGAACTTTACATTCTACCATGGAGATATCACCAACCCTTCCGAAGTGCTCGATTGTATGGAGCGCTTCAACATCGACACTATATTCCATTTTGCAGCTCAGTCACATGTCGACTTGAGCTTCGGGAACTCGTATGGATTTACTCACACGAACGTGTACGGTACTCATGTTATGCTAGAGAGCGCGAAGAAGGTTGGAGTGAAGCGATTTATTCACATATCTACTGATGAAGTATATGGCGAGGTTAAAGACGACGATGATGATCTAATGGAAGCGAGTATTCTATCTCCAACTAATCCTTACGCCGCGAGCAAAGCCGCCGCCGAAATGCTTGTGAACTCTTATATGAAGAGCTTCAAGCTTCCAGTCATTATTGTCAGAAGCAATAACGTCTACGGGCCACATCAATTTCCCGAAAGTAAGAACCATATTCAAACAACACACAAGAACACGCACATAACTTACCACGAAGCAGAAATAATTCCTAAATTCATCTGCTTGTTGAATCGTCAGAGGCCGACGGTACTCCACGGTGATGGGAGCCCTACCCGAAGATATTTATATGCTGGCGATGCGGCTGATGCGTTCGATACGATCCTACATAAAGGCACTCTCGGCCAGGTCTATAATGTAGGATCACACGACGAGATTTCTAACATCCAGCTATGTAAAATGGTGTTGAAAGAGATGGACATCCCTCACGAGAGTCAAGAAGACTTCAACAAGTGGGTTAAATATACGCATGATAGACCATTCAACGATCATAGATACGCCATCGACGCTACTAAACTTCGACATCTCGGTTGGGACCAGAAGACTTCTTTCGCTGATGGGTTAAAGATCACTGTTGACTGGTATAAACGGTTCGGCGAAGAATGGTGGGGTGACATTAGCAAAGTCCTCAGCCCCTTTCCGATTGTCGTTGAAGCTGAAGTGGTATCTGATAAGGAAGAGATTTGTGATGAGCCTCAGTTACCAAAGAAACGGAAGTCGCCTGGGTAGTGGTTATACAACCGGAGTTCACCCCCAGATGGGAAGAACCTCCGTAGGTGGTTATCCGGCACTATCATAATGGGAAATGCAATGGTGCGAATTGGGATGATCTGCGCAATGAACCCCAAGATTTTGGGTTATAGAGTGTGTTGTTATAAGCAGCGTCATAGACGGAAGATGCAAGCGGCGTGAAGAATATTCCCATTGCTACTTGAACGAAAGATTTTCATCAAGTATTCGGTAAAGCTAGATTAGAGGCTATGATGAGCTCGTAATAAACTTACTGTAAACTTAGTGTAGTTAGTTAGAGGTAACTATAACATGTTGTGATAATGTCTAGGTGTAAGTAAGGGTTGTGGTTAAACGGTCTGCTAATCGCGCTTCGGCCTGCATGATATACGCATGGAAATATCATTACATTGTGCAATTCTCTCCTATTCGGGACTACTTAATCCGGTATTTCGGGGATTATTAGGATTATTAGCGATGCACGTCCGAACCGGAAATCGCTTCCAGCATATCACGACTGCAGCTGGGGGCCCATGGTTCGATTGAAAACTTCCAAAGCCGGGGGTTTTCAGTTGACCAGCCTGTCAAACTGGGGACATATGTACTTTACTGCGTACATACGGTACATAGTGTCGGCTGTTTATCCAATGAAATCGACAGCGTAGAGCCGAAACCTCGACATTCCTCAAGGGCATGTGCACCAACGTTTCTGTCGCCTGCCAAAAGTGGGAAGGATAAGACGAAGAAGACACGCGTTCCTATTTAGAGCTATGAGTACATTTATTTATGCAGACAAGTGTGTTTGTTCCCAAATTAGCATTGATATCTCATGAGTCTTCCTCTCGTGATGATGGCGATGACGATGGCTTAGGTAACTTCTCTTACCTTAAGCAACCTTTTAAAGTCTGATCATCCAGTGAGAATGACAGGGTTCCTCAGGGTCGGGGGCGGACGGGTTTGCCCACCCATTCGGGTCCAATCAAACAGAACCGGAATATGAACGCTTGGACCCTTAGCTCTGGTAAAGTCGAGGGCGAGCCAATCTCTTCTCAGGGTTCCCAGGGCACGATATTTTCAGCGTTGTAGTCGTCCGCATCCAAGGTGAAGGGCTGCATACAAATACATATGCATACATACATACGGACATATATACGTAACATGCCTAGGCATAATGTGTGCAGGGCGAATATAGAATAGGGAATAGGGGAGGATTCCACTGGCATGGGTGGCAATGACCATGTGGTTCATTCCCTTGTCTACGACTCCACGTTACAGTAATGAAGCAGACCGCTCATTGGATCGAAGGAGTTGCCCCCCAACTGTCTTCTCTTACTTTGTAGACGTTGTCTGGGTGGTGATCAAGTCGGTAGCCAATCGTTAACATATTTGCCTGTGACTATCCTCCGCTTTCTCGTAGCCCATTTCCTCATCTCGTTCCGCTGCCTAAGCCTTGCGTAGTGGCTGTTTTTATTTTTATTTTTATTTTTATTTTTATCCGTATGCTCGAAACGAATTGAAATGACGATCGTAAACTAGTATATACGCACTCTGTGGACAGTCTTTGCTTGCCAATGTATCCGGCACCGGATCGTCTACGAACTCCTCACTGGCTAAATATTCTAGAGATCAGTTTTTTAAGCGCTGCGTCAGACAAAGGTGCTCCTTCGCTTACGCATCCATCTCTGGGCCACACGGTTTACGAAGACGTCGGTAGTCAGTGGGATTTCATCAGGAGAGTTAGGAGGAGCTGTGCGACCAAATGCCTCATCAGCAGTTAAGAATCCTCTAGTACGACTGTGATGAAAAGGAAGAGAAGGACAAGCGACGAAACAAGACAGGTTACGGCACCGCGTGGACCAGCAGCAATCATGCCGTCGTATGGGACTAGTGCCACCAGCTCGTCTATCGGCCCCCCCAGTACCGAAACAGGCCGTAGCGTAGTTAGCTCCGAGCTTCCTGTGCCGGAGCTGGACGACGACATCTCCACCGAAGATGTCACAAGCGACGGTTTAAGTGCGTGGACGATGAGCGTTGTAGAGCCGAGCGGTCATGTGTTTGAGGCGAATGATGAGACGAGGGCAAGCCAGTTCGATGCTGGCTCTATCTATTCCCGAAGCCATCATCCGGGTGGCCGTGCAGTGGTGTATCGGGTGGAGCATTCGGTTGAGAGCGAAGGTAGTGTAGAAGACGGGACCGTGTAAGCCCACATCAAGACTGACAACAGCGTAACGAGTAATGCTAATACTGAATAGAAACTCAACACGGTCAATCAACGAACTAGATCTTAACTACGTGATGGAAAATGGACGACGGTATTGCGGCTCATATTACATGCCAAACGACGACGACGAGCAAGTTCGATTGCAGCTGATGAATCAGGTCTACCTGAAAACGTTCGATGGCGAATTAACAAGCGTGCCTTTAGAAGCGCCTACTCACATCCTGGATATTGGCACTGCCGTCGGCGAATGGGCCATAGATATGGCTGAACTTTATCCCGACTGCGAAGTAACCGGAACTGACATCTCTAATATTTTTGAACGTCGAGTTCCGCAAAATATCTTCTGGGAAATTGACGATGCCGAGCTGGAATGGGAACGACCACCGAATCACTATGACTTAGTACACGTAAGAGACTTACAAGGATCGTTTTCTGATTGGCATCATATTTACCGATCTGCTTTCCACTGTATCAAACCCGGCGGATGGATCGAAGTGTTGGATTTCGATGATCATCGAGGAATAAGCAATCTTCACTCATTCTTCGAGCCCGAGTCCTTGGTACACAAGGCATTACACGACGTCCGTGAGGCTTCTTTGCTGCACGGGAGGCCGCGTGGTGTTGCCCATCTAGAACCTAGGTTTCTGGTTAATGCAGGCTATGTTGATGTCCAACTAACCGAGCACGCTATCCCTCTAAGGACCGAAGACGGCTCTACCGGAAAGTTTTGGCTTCTTTCTATGCTGAACGGATGCGAATCGATATGCCTGAGGCTTCTGACCAAGTACAAGGGGTGGGAACCGGATCAAGTCCGTTTGGCTTGCGACCAGATCGGTGAAGAACTGATGGCGATGGCACTCAACTCTAAGAGAGCAAAGGGATTCGTTGCCAAAGTCAGAGTATTGAAGGGGAGGAAACCAAGCCCATACAACCGGTGGTCTAGATTACCGTCTCGCGAGCCCATCCCTGTGATACAAGAGAAATATCTGGATATACTGGAGGACACCGATGCAGATGAGAGTAATCTGACAGATGGTCTGACGGATGGAGGAAGCGGCTTTTGCTCATTCCCATCTCGTGGTCCAACGAGCGTTGCAAACAGCAAATCTCTTCAATCAGGCTAGAACCAAAACTCTCAACCGACTGAAGCAATGTGTCAGGACTGAGCAAAAATAACGGCACCGTTGGTATAATATTTGATTTGAAGCGGTCAGATCAAGGCAGATGATCATTCAGGGGGGAGAAACCCACCAATATCATCTAGACCGTTCCGTGCATTAAACACAATATTAGCGTATGGAAATCCCGCAAAGTCAACGATGGTCAAAGTCACGATATCACGATGAGAGCCGCGAACAAGTTTCGACATAGAAGATTGGCGGAACCCGATGAACATAGACCGAATGAGATCAGAGCCCGATACCCATCTCACCGGTAAATATTTATCCATACCTCCATGGATAACAAGAACAGTAACAAGAACAGTTTCGATACAGACATATAATCTCCAATGCCCATGGAGAAACAAGAGGAATATAGGCTGGGTAAATTTAGCTTAAGTCTCGTGTTATTTTGTGAATAGGATATGGAGGATATTCAGGATATTAGGGTATTTGGGATTTCGGGTATATAAAGGTAGACTGGGTCAACATGAGACCCTGTATATGCCTACCCATCTGTTTATAATCGCATTGTTGCGATCTATTATACACGAGCAATAAAGCTCTTAAGGATTATCATTAACTATAAAAGTTAACTAACCTAGATAATATAAAGCCAAAAGTTTATAGGCCATTTTTCGAACTTGATTTTTACGATATTGTGAATGAAGCCTTTCGGGATAATATATATGATTTACATGAACAATTAGATTGAGTTACGTACCTAGGAGGTATGTATACTAAACAGATGTGATGTCAATCTTGAGGCGCTTTAAGTGCCCAGCTGCCTTCAATTGAAGTTACATCATTGCTGCACTACCTAGGTACTTGCATAATCCGGATAGTTCCGGCCCGCTTTGTTGTACAATACCTATTAGGCCAATACCATGTATCTAATAGGGTAAGGTAACCTTAGGAGGTACCTAACCTAAGGTACCTAACCTAAGATACCTTAAACATGTACGGCCGAGCTCCCATCAACTCCAACAATTCCAGCGAGCTCAGAACTTAAATAAAGGTTACCTCTGCCTAACGCCATATAACCGCAACCAACAGACAGCTTTGCGACCTGTTGCGACCTAGCCTCTTCAACATGACCAAATAGATTTCCAGATGTCGCTAGAAGCAACCAACGGCTTTGTTGCCGCCAACGGCGTGCACGATCTTACTGTCGAAAGTTTACCTATATTCGATGTCGAACCGGTACAACTCCAATTCTCCATCGCCGCCGACTTTGTCGCTGCCCAGGTTGCCAACAATGTGCTGGTCCTAGCCTTGTCTAATGGGCGCATATTGCGCATCGATTTAAACCGACCAGAAGATATAGACGGTGAGCTGGCATGGAGGTTCAATCATTAGAGTGCTACTAACAGAAGCTACTCGTAGATATCGACCTTCCTAGGCGAGTTTCCGAAGTAGGCACCATCCGGCGCATGTTCCTTGATCCCACGGCCTCTCACCTGCTCATATGTACTTCTCTCAGCGAGAACTATTACCTACACACCCAGTCACGCCAACCACGACCGCTAAGTAGGTTGCGCGGAGTCTCTGTTGAGTCCGTGGCTTGGAACCCATCTCTGCCAACAGCTACGACACGAGAGATCCTGATAGGGGCCTCCGATGGAAATATATACGAAACATTTATTGAAACCTCAACCGAGTTCTACAGGAAAGAGGAGAAATACTTAAAGGTGCTACATAAGCTTCCCGATGGACCAATCACGGGACTTTGGGTTGATAATATGGGTGGGAAAGTCGATGTAAGGAGAGTAGTTTTCGCTACGCAAAGTCGTATACTTCATCTCGTAGGCAAGGTTGGACGGAGTAGTCATGACGGGAGCGGTTCCATCTATACGAGGTTATTCGACTCCGAGCAACCCATTATACATGAAATGTCGCGAGGCTCGACTACTGCACCTTCGATGCTTGCTGTCTCACCAGATCCTCCAAATTCTCATATTTACGAGGATGCCGTTCCAGACCGAGCCTTTGCGTGGCTTTCTTCACACGGTGTCTATCACGGGAAGCTTGCAACAACTCCGATGAACAATGATCTTGGAAACAAGGTGTTCGCCGAGTCGAAACTCCTGTCAAGGTCGCAAGTCGTCTCGACAGAGGCATCGGGACGGAAAAAGACCCCGTCCGAGTCTATTGACGCGATCTCGTTGACCCAATGGCACATCATCGGCCTAGTTGGCGGTCGTATCGTAGCAATCAATCGATTAACTGGGTCGGTTGTGTATGATCAATTAATTTTAGACCAGGGACAGAAAGCCCTAGGTCTATATATCGACCAACAAAAAAACACGTTCTGGCTTTTTACCGCCCAAGAGATATTCGAGATCGTTGTTAGAGATGAGGATCGGGACATATGGCGAATTATGCTACAGAGACAACAGTTTGATATGGCCATGCAATATGCTCATACTCTGGCCCAAAAAGACGCGGTTTCAATGGCGTCTGGCGATTATCTTGTTGAAAAGGGGCTATTCGTTGAGGCCGCTGGCGTATATGGCAAAAGCAGCAAACCGTTTGAAGACGTTGCGCTTGCTTTCATTGATCACAACCAAAATGATGCCTTGCGGAAATATCTAATCACAAAACTAACGACGTACAAAAAGTCATCTACGATGCAAAGGATGATGATATCAACGTGGCTAGTCGAGATATTCATGGCGAAGCTCAACTCCCTCGAGGATTCCATTACTGTGGAAGCCGAGTCAACTGAAAATGGAAATGCAAAGGAGTCACGGCACCAACTCGATGCGATTCGAAGCGAGTTCCAGGACTTCGTCAACAAGCACAAATCCGATCTCGATCGCAAAACAACGTACGATGTCATTAGCAGTCATGCTCGGGAAGATGAGCTTCTATTTTTTGCCAACGCGGTAAACGACTACAACTATGTCCTATCGTATTGGGTACAGAGGGAGCGATGGACGGAAACTCTGAACGTGCTCAAGAAGCAAACAGACCCAGAAGTCTTCTACCGGTATAGTAACGTATTAATGACACATGTCGGACATGAGTTAGTCGAGATCATGATGCGGCATCCCAAACTCGAGCCGCGCAAGATCATCCCGGCGCTCCTCGACTACAACAGGACTTTCAAAGGGTCATTCCTCCAAAACCAAGCCATCAGGTATCTACAGTTTGTCATTAATCAGCTT